CCCTCTGACTATATAACTTCCTGGATTGAAGATAATTTAAGCAGAAAATAAATTTCCCAGTGTCATTTTCATACATTATAAATATATTTTGCACAGTTCTTTTTTTTTTTTACATCTTTATTGGAGTATAATTGCTTTACAATGTTGTGTTAGTTTCTGCTGTATAACAAAGTGAATCAGTTATATGTATACATGTATCCCCCATCCCCTCCCTCTTGAGCCTCCCTCCCACCCCTCTAAGTGGTCACAAAGCACAAGCTGATCTCCCTGTTACACAGTTCTTTGGAGGGATTTAGAAAAGGGCAAGGCATTGGAATAAAATAGAAACTATCATTTCAAAAAGATTGTGGATTCAGATAGTTCTACATTAATCTTTAAAATCAGATTTGAAAAAACAATGTGATGTCTTTTATTTAAATTATTACAAAATACAAAATTTAAAAGAATAGAATATTCTGATTCAAGGAGAAAAGAGTCTTATTTTTCTTGGTATCAATGAGAAATGTGTAAATGGTAGTTGAAATCTCTGAAAAAAAAGGGATTGCTAGTTAATGAACAATGGTAGTACATAGCCAATATTTATTCCATTTAGGTAGTCCAACATGAAGATTAAAATCATAATGGAATACTCCTAGGAAAGTAGGGTAATTCAACAGAAGCATTTCCAGTGGAAATGTACTAACCTTACAGTATTGAAGAAAATCCAAAATCTGCATTGAAATAAGGACATTCTTTGGACTCAAAAAATTACAGGCCTCATTTTTGTGGGTTAATGTGTTTGGAAAGCTTGATAAGGAGATTATATAATTCCCTTATAGGGATATTTACTTAGTATTGTTTTTATTATGTAACTGTAACAGATGACACATGTAACTTTGGTAATAGGAAACGAAGTGACAGCTATGTCCCTGGATGGTGAAAGTTGTGAGACGGAGAAGTTATAGAAATCTTCAGCTCCTTCCATTTGCACTTAGACTTTCAAGATTCTGTTTCCTGCTAGGTCTGCATGCTCCCTGTGATGAGGTCAGGATTGACCCTGTGAACACTAGTCACACTCCTTGCTGAGTTGTTTTAGTTAGCCAAAATTTACATATTTTTTATTTTAAAAAAGTCTCAATAAATATTAAACTTTAAAAGATTTATGTTACTTTAAATTCTTCATGATCATAGTTGTGCATGTGCTTTTTCATATACATAAGCTATCTTGTGTTATGCTTTTTAATGTGGGATTATTTCATGTAAACATTTCCAAGTTCTAGAATTATGCAAAGATTTATACTTTTGAAAAACATATTCAACAAACCATAATGGTAAATGCTATTTCAAATTTATTAAAAATACTTATAAACCCACACCCATTCCCTCATATGTATTATTTGTTGTACTCAGAAGTTTATATTGGAAGAAAAATATTACCCTTTATATTACCGTTTCCTGGAAGAGTAAAATTTTTAAATGTACCTCATTTAATTAATTTATATATATATATGACATTCTTTCAAGCTAAGTAAAAAGAATGTAATACCAATATGTTAACCTCATGTTTTAAGGGAAAATTATTTGAAACGTCATCCTGGAGTGGTTCACTACAGGATGACTGCGCTGGCCTGGCCTCCTTAGCTTTCCCTTTGGAGCTTGGTGTAATGGAACAGTCTCCTTTATGTTATGACCCAGCTATCGTGTCAGCCAGAGAGCTCTCAAGCACTGTCCTGGCACTGCCTTGCAGGGTCCAATAGGATGATCCATATGCAGACTCCTGTCGGAGGCGTTTGCTACAGGTTGTATAAAGCATTTACAACTGGGTGATTTTATGCAAATATTGTGAGACATTTTTATATTGTCTTCCTGTTTATATTTTACATTTTGTGAACTGTTGTTTAGGACTTTATTTGCTAGTCATGGGACTCTTCTTTAAGGTAAAAACCTTCATTTTATAATGTGTTTTGCAATAGCATGTTTTAGCAGATGACATATTTCCTTAGGCCAGATTGTAAATGCAAGAATTTAGACTTAATCATATTTTTACTTATTAGTTTTACCCAATCACTGTTTTTGTTTTTGTTGTTGTTTTTAAGAAACTATGGTGTCAGGTTTGGTAAAATATCAAATAATAATAAAAATTTTGAACCTCGGGGAGTTTTTATCCTTATGACTAAATCTTTCATTTTAAAAATGAAATATCTGAATAAAAATAATTTGCTTTAATCCAAAATATACACTTGAAATGTTTAGTTAGATTTAAAAAAGCAAAAATTTTGGGTAGCCTTGTGCAATATTTTTTAAAGTTTGACCAGAATCTTTCTAAGAAAGATGAAAATTAATTTTAAATACTGAAGTTGACATGTTAGTGAACCAAACCAAAGTTGACAAATTTTTAATTTTACCCATCTCCCCATTTTTTACCCTTGAATATTTGAAATATTCATATAAACAAGCCAACCCTGATCATTTCACTCTAGTTCACAGTGTATAAAGTTTTGACATATCCTCAAAAGATATGGCAAAATTATACACTGCATATCCATTAATAGCTTTCCTTGTTCTTTTTGAAAATAATTGAATTGCCTGAACATTTCAAGAGTTTGAAAGTTTACAGTGAATGGGAGCATGTATTCCAAGTGAATGCACTGGCCCCGTAAATTCCACCCTTAGAACTGTACTTCCTTCTTAATTTCTTAATTTAACAATGGCAGTAATAAATCATGTACATCATGACATTTGGAAATATCAAATCTTCAATTTCAGCTTTGTGTATATCAAAAGAAGAGAGGCAAATATTTTAATAAATACTCTTTTCACTGTGTTTTACCCAGGCCCAAACTGGCGGAGTTTGTTAACTCAAAATACATTATTCCCTGGAATATTATCTCTTCACTCTTTTTCTTTTCTTCATCTCTGTGTCTTAAAAAGTCATGATGATATAGAAAACTAAACTTAGTTTTTGGAGTAGAATTGTTAGAATCACTTATTCTGTCAAACATCAGACTGAGGTTATATTGTTTTGTTACATTCATTTTGGGGGTGCTGCTCAAAAGCTGTGTACAATAAATGTCAAGGGTAGTAATTTACTGACAACGATTAGGAAAAGAGAACTATAGAAAGCACAGGAACATTTTCAGAAATGGGTTTTATTATATTTCATAAGCACCACTCACTTTACTTTTGGTGGGTTTCAATATTTGAATCAAAAATAATAATAATACATAAGAGTTAAGAAACCAACAAATTAAAACCCCAGGCCCCCGCGCCCCTCATTTTGGTTGTAGCTCTTGGTGTAGATGCTATGGTGTGAGGGCTGCTTTCTTTCAATGGCTGGTTGTCATTCAGGCTGGGTTGTCATGTGACTGCCTGTCTGTGCCTGCTGTACAGGTGAGCGGATGTTCTGCACAGCAAGTGTAGACAGGCAGACACATGACAACTCCGTCCAGCCAGGCCCTTGGTTCCTTCAGGTTTCCTTTGCTCATGGGCAGATACAATCAGTCTGTTTTCCAGATTTGGTGATTTTGGAGGGTCAGGGGAAAGGGAGAAAAACACACAATAGAATTAAACATTAAAACATTATGGAACTAAAAACAAGTTAGACTTTTGACTTTATTCAGAAAGTACACTTATACATTCATTCCAAATGTGCTAACATGGATAATTGACAGAGCAGAAAACTCACATTGAAATTTTAAGGATAAAACAACAACAAAACAGACTAAACACAAGGTTTATTCTTAAATCCAGTTCATATTACTACTGGCCCACATGCAGTCAGAGTTCAGAGTAATTGAACCAGATGTTTTTCCTCTTCACAAAACTCTGCATATTTTAAAACTGAAGTTAAAGATAAAGACTATGTTTATACATGTTTCTTGTAATAGGTAAGTACCATAATCTAGCCCATGAAAAAGAAACTTGTCATTTACATGGAAATGGCAGCCATTTTCAAAATAATTAATGAGCCTAATGTATTCGACAATGCAACAAATGGACTTTGGTATCTGATGCTTTGTTAGTGGGATTTTGACAAGGGGATGTATTTTTATCAATATTTTATTAAGCAACAGGAACTTATATAAATTTGTCATATTTTTTTAATGCAAAGTTTTAAAGTATGGATTTGAAAACCAAATAAAAAGCAGTTGTGAGCTTAAGTTTTCCTCCTCTTAATTAACTACAGGGCTGTGCCATGAATCAAAAGGGTATAAACTAAAAAGTTGTTACCCACAGTGATGCTCACAATGTATATTGGACATTGTTAGTGCAGTGCAGTTACAAAATAGTACCTTAAACACAGAAGAGAAAGCTTCATTTCGTATCTAAAAAGTAAAACCAGACCCTCTGGAAAATTTCCTTAAAATTCATGTAAGAAAGAATTAATGGTGTTAAATATACAGTTAGAAAATTTAATTCTGGTGACTTGAGAATAATTCTACTGGTTTTTTTTAATATAAATGATCAATTCACTTCCGTAGAGGTATTTAACAAATTTCCCTGCCCTTTAAAAAATAAAATATCCAGATAGTCAAAATTCCAATAAATAGAATTTTAAAAAACAAAACAAAACCTTATTGTCCAAGGAATGTGTACTTAGGGATTTTTTCAAAGAATTTTAAGGAAAACAAGTAGTTTGTTATTTTCCTTTAATTGTAAAATTCTGAGAAAATAGCAAATAGAAAGTTTATGGAGAGCAAAATAGTTTTTAGAGACTGAAAAAAATGACAGTATTCTACATATCTGAACTTTTATGCAGTGATTAGATATGGTACAGTTTTAACAAAGAGTTGATAAATGCAACTTTCCATTTATTTATTTAATTTCAAAAAATAAATGTCAGATTCTGTTTCTGGTCATCACTTCTGAGTAGAGGACTTATTTTTTTTTCTTGACAGAATCAAAAACATCACTAAACTTGGCTGCTGTTTAAATAATTACAAGGCCAGAGTATGCAAAAACAAATACCTTAAGAAACTATTTTGTTATTGTTGCTGCATTCAGTGCAACAGAAAATATTTATGGAGTGATTCACTTACAAAGAGTATATTGGTGGAAATTTAAAATTACTGTAATTCTGTATAGCTTTCCCTCTCTCTCCCATAAATAATTTGATCCAGTTAACTCTGCTCAATTAAAGGAATGATGCATGCAACCTGAAAAAATAGAAAGAAATATTTGTGAGTTCATGTTATCCTTTAATATGAAGCAGTTCTATTAAACCAAGATACCCAATGTATTTGAGCCTGAAAAACCATAACTGTTTTTCAGGGGGGAAAAAATCTTGCTGAAAAAGATTTTACTCTACTCATAAGACTTTTGGACAATTTATGTTTCTAGTAGATTTTAAAAACACAATTTTAGTAAGTATGTGGCATATGCACACTTTTTGGTTATGTTGAACCTGATGGAAGACTGAAAAAACATTTAAGATTTTTTTCTATCTTCTAAACTGTACAGTAAATATTAATTCATTATCACTTAATATACTAGGTAAAATATTAAAAAGCTATTTATATTATTATCATACCATGTATTTTTTAATATGGTTATTACACCTCCTTTTTGTCTTTTCTTTATCATCTTAAGAAAGAAATGCAAAAATAGAATCATATTCTAAGTCTTCTACAGCAAAATTAAACCAAATCAACTCCAGAAAACTGGCTGTCACAGTTAAGTCAGGAAATTCAAAATTAAGATTTAATTATTTTCTTTAATTTACTTCTTTATCTCTATTTATTAAAACTGATAAAAATTCTTAATAAGAGATCTTCAAAAAATTGATAAATATTTCTACCTAAATAATTTGTAGCACACCGAGGTTAAAAAGGTAGAAGAAACCAAGTAAGAAAGTTTCAATCTTTACTCAGGAATTTCCTGTCTTTTCTTAGGTTAAAGCCTGACTTCTAGTTATTTTAAGCTGGGATTTATGAGTGATGGTCTCTTAGCTATTATTTAGACATTATTGAGATGGGTGGGATAGTCTCCTCAGAGAAGAGCAAATCTCTTGTAATCAAAAGCTTTGGCTTCTCTTTAGTAAGGATGGACTCTGGTGGGTGAGTGAACTTTTCTACATTACCAAGTTGTATTTTCTTTTTATGTCCTATAACAGCTTTAAGACTTCAACCGGGGAAAAAAAAAGGGGGTGGGGGGAGAAAATTCCTTCATTAGGAGTTTTGTGCCTGAACTCTTTCCCACAAAGTGAAAAACTTGGGTGGTCTGTAGGGTGAGAGGTGGGGGTAGATAGTATATTTTGGTTTTTAAAAAATATAAACACATTATCTTGGCCGAAAGCTCAAATACCAAGCAGGAAGGACATTAAACCTATTAACTAATTGCAAGAAAGTGATCAGTGTGAAATTTTGTCCCACTGTAAATAAATTTTCTTTGGTTTTGAGATCTATGGCTTTAAAAAGCAGTGGGAGTTGAAAATGTAAATAAACTGTTTTATGTTGATCCTTTTCCAATTAAGAAATGATGGTGTTAAAGCTAAGGCTCTGAATTTCCTTCTCTTAGCGGAAAAATTTTTCCTTTTAGCTCAGTATCTGGTCTAACTTATCAATCACCATGCGCTAAAATGCAAAATAACTACTAAGTTTCTATGAAGTACAGTTTGGACAGGCCTTGCAATTTTCTCTTTCTGACGATCGTACAATATTTAATTTTAATACTTACACTTACCATTACATCCAGGGGTAGTTTTAGTAGAAGTTGTTCATTGTTGGTTAGTTTCCTCTGGAATAGATTCCATGATCCCTAAAACATTTGTATATTTCCTTACAAAGTAATATCAAAAGAAAGTTAAACATTATTCTAATTACTCTGGAAATAGATAAGGTTATTTTACGATATGTGTGTGTATACATGTTAGTATGTATACCAGCGCATAAAGTACCATCCTTCCTTCAGTCAGCAGTGGTTTATAAAGTGAGCTTTTACTTTTGATTTTTAACTTAGTTCATGAATTTAAAAAGACGTACTATTCCTTCCTATTTGTGAAAAGTTTGCATTAAAAATGAGTTGCCAGAGCTCACTGAGCACGTGCAGGGGCTCCTCGGCTATCCCTTTTGCAAATTAATTCTTATGTTCCTACTCCTGTACTTATGCCAAGGACACCATCGGGTCCCCTCTGTCTCCAGACTAAAAGTAATCCTGAGGGAGAAAATAGGTGAGGAACCAGTGGGGGTTTGTTTCATTAAAACAAAAAGACCACTTAATATGAAGAAAGACATTTAAATTAAATAAACATGAAATTAAAGCAAGTTAGGAAATTCAGCTATTTCTATGGAGTAAAAAAACAAACAAAACCCCCAAATTTGAAAAATCTTAAATATTGCCAAAGTACCTTATAGCTATCTTCTTTAGTAACTATATCAATTAGTAAAAATATATTTCTTAAAAAAATAAGCTCCCATAAAGTTACCTAATAGATTTTTTTCAATTTTCCTATGTAAAAATAGCTATATAGAGTTTTAAAATCTTACTTGTTTTATTAAAAATAATTAATCTGGAAGCCTCCAAGATACAATAGAAGAAAAAAAAAGGATGACATTGTATCATCTAACTGGAGAAAATAGCTAAAATAAATCCTTGCTTTTTATATTTTAACTAAAAACCATGAATAAAAGAGAAAACTTTTGTACCAGTTTTGGAATGATCAAAGGGGTAGTTTTTAAAATAAATTGTCTTGACCAAAGATAACGTGGGGAATCTTTGGTAATAAAACGTTTTGCCAAAGAGAACTTGTGACAATGTTTGAATTGTTGTTGCAAAATGTATGATTTAGAAAAGGATTTGTTAAGGAACCAATGTAACTTTACAAAATTTGAAGGAGGACAAAAGGGGTTAGATTCACACAAAAGCCTAAAGAACAGATGTTTTCATTATATAGAATTGTTTGGGGGTAGATATAAATGGGGGTTGAGGCAGTAACATTTTTTTCCAGAACGTTCTTTAAGGAACCCATCTCTAAAGTTCAGCATGGATCATATTGCAACCCAGACTTTCTCTATTATTCTCTCTATTGGGATTTCATTCAGCTTGAGGGTTTTCCTCCCTCCCACCTTCCTCCCCCTCTCCCACCCTCCTTCACCCCCAGGACAGCTGGAAACTGACCAAAGAAAACTTTGCTTTCGTTTACAAATTCCTTTTTTATCAGTGGGTTTCTAGACAAAGTACCTTATCATTTTAAGTGCTCAGAGAAGTAGAAGCCTTGTAAAATATAGCCACAAGGGCTCAGCTGACCAGCAGTTATCAACCATTCTTGGATTTTTAAAAAAATGCAATACAGAGATATATATTGTGATATCTGAACGTAGAGGTTTTTTATTCTCCGATTTATTTATTGCTGACTCAATAAGTTCTGGGTTGGTGCTCTTTTCTGGACCAGTCCCATCTGCATTGTCTGGTAGGCAAAAACTTGGCAGCCTCTTCTTTTATTGTTAGATACTATTATTTCTGATGTTTCTATTATATAAAATTTAAGAAAAGCACTATTCATATAGCATTTTAATAATAGCAAGTATTCTTTGGGGCAAAATGGATTCAATCCTGGGATGCTAAAAGTTATACTACAGCCCTCATTCGAATAAGTTTTTAGGTCTCTGGATTATCAATTTCAACAATTGAAAACCAGCCTCATTAAATTATTCTTAAGTGTTTGGGGTGTGTTTCATATTTCATTTTGAAGTGGGAAAACCTTTAAACTTAAGAAAATAGTTAAACTCTTCAGAAATTGAATAACATCTAGTAAACCACTATGTACCACACATTGTTGCTTTTTTAAAATTAAATGCAGACCTATCTGTCATGCAGATACCTCAGTTTCTCTCACATGTGAAAGCAAATCATTGGCTCCCCACCTAGGCTCTCCTGGTCATAGCCCAGGTGAGCAGTCAAGAAGGCCTTACCCACAGGTCTTCCCTCGAGCAGTCCTTTCTCGGCAGTGTCCCGAGGGCTTCCTGGTCCCTACTGTGCAAAACCTGTGAAGAAAAACACTGGATATGAGATTCAAAAAAGGGGCAAACAAATGTCTTCTCCTCGGAAACAGCAACTTTTGTCCCCAGCTGTCCATGGCGTTGCTCTCCCTTGCCCAGTCTAACCAATGTGCAGACTACTGTACAACGGCATTGTCCTGAACAGGTAGTCTGAACACTGGGGCGACGGAGCAGGATCTCCAGAAGCTTCCATCTATGTACTTAAAATCCTCTCCGGTCTTTGGGAAAAAGGGGTTGCATTCGGCTTCCCCCCCGAATTCTGCTGCCCCGACTGAGACTCAAGGGCTGTGATTTCCAGTCTTGACGTGGCACATTTGCTGCAGACTGGGGAACTGGCAATGAATTTAGGACCAGGAAAAGGGGGAGGGCTGGGCTGGAGAGTCCATATATGGGATGATGTCACCCTGGGGAGGTTTGGGTATGCGCTGTGCCGCTGGAGAGACCGCTAGAATCGCCTGCTCTCAGACATGGGTCTGTGCATAAAATGGTACCAGATGTTTTAGTGTAATGTTAAGCAGTCATTTCATCTTCAGGCCAGATTTTTTTCCTCAACTGGGCAGGAAGTGGGCCCCAGTATGGAAAAGCTGAAAAAAAAGAGTCGAGATGTACAGTTCTGCTGTGGCCAACTGAAAGTGAGTTAGTGTAGAAGTACAAATTTGCTGTCCGATCCAGGCTAGAAAAGTAATTTGAAGATAGAGGGTAGATAAAAAAGTAAACAGAAAGTTGAACTCTGGAAGCCAGAGCTCATTTGGAAACCTTTTTTGAGCTTTCCTGTGGTACTTTATTTTCTGGTAATTCACTCTTCAGAAAGGGCAGATAAGTTCTTTCTCTCTCTCTCTCTCTCTCTCTCTCCCTCTCTCTCTCTCTCTCTCTCTCTCTCTCTCTCTCTCTCTCTCTCTCTTTTTCTCTCTCTCGCTCCCTCTCTCTCTCTCTCTCTCTCTCTCTTTCCCTCCTCCTCCTGTCTGTTGGATCTGTCAGCGGCTTGCAGGCTGATCTAGACTTGAACAGTAATTATAGCAACTTCCTGAAAGTGAAGCCCCCATGAAAAGTCTGGAGAAATGTTCTTTGTCATGGCCTCTCCATGAGTAATTAGTTCCACATGTGGCCTTCCTCAGCTATTTTGGCTGGCTCTCTGAATGCTGTGCTATAGCTTGACCTAAAGAAACTTAAAAGTTTTGATTTCAAGCCTCCACTATGAAATAATGACTCTGGTCTCCTAACAAATTGCCTCTGGTAGATCCATGCTACTAGGTGCAGCACCGTTTTTCACTGGTAATTCCTGATTCTGTGTTAATACTTTTGTTTTAATGGTATTCTACTGCTTAGTTTCATCGCTGGTTAATTAAATCTGTTGAAATTTGCCAAGCACCGCTTGACAACATGTTATAACATAGATGCCAGTCTGCTGGCATCTACTTTTCTTCTTTTGCTGATGTTTTCAATTATATATACTGTTGCGTATTCTGACTATACAGCTCTCTGACTTCCACTCAATAGTATTCTGACTGAAGTTCGAGTTGCCTCAAACAAGAGCTTGATTAATAGCCCTTCTAGAGATCAAAATGTGAAAAAATTTCTAGGTAGCTTCCAAATTTAATTTGAGTAGCCAAACTAAGAAACTTAGGATTCTTTAAAGAATTACAGCCAAAGCAATTCATTTCTACTGACCTTCTGCAATACTTTTTTAGAAGCAGAAAAATCCCTCTCTTTAAAATGTGTTGGGTTGAATATTTCCAAAGGCTTCAAGTGAGAAGTGTCTTAAAGCATTTGCTTTTCATTAAATGTCTTCTCTTGAATTAACATACCATTAAAGTGTTCAAAAGTTATTATAAGCCCTGCTCACCTGGGGAGGAAGATTAAATAAGATAAAAATGAATTATCCAGCAGTTTAGGATGGAATTAAGAGATTAGCATTAGGTATATCATTCATAGAGAGATTTAACTCATAAATGGAAATTCAGAAGAATTACTTGATATCACTGTACTTCTGCCTCCATACTTGTGTTTTCAGGGCCTATTCCAAGTGGTTGAACAAGCCCAGTGTGCCTCAACTGCTTTTTTCCCTGTCACTGCTTTACACTATTACATAATACTGGAAATATGCAAGTGTGACTATTTACTACTTAATAGTCTTATTACATGTGGATACCAACTCTGTCTTTTTTGAGTATCTATATGTTTATTCAGGAATCATCATAGAGGAGCCATGAGCCAGTGGGACAATAGTCAGCCAGGAATCCAGCATTCCAGGTGTGGGCTTGTTCCTGCCACAAATAGTGAAAGCCTTTCCTCTGCCCTCTTCTATTTATATTGAGGAAACATGCCTTGGGAATTTTTGTAAGGCAGTTGAAAGGTGATTCTGATCAGCCTGCTCCATGATTTCACCTTAGTTCACACATCTATACTTTTTCAAACATAGGAGAGATCTGTTTCTCAGATAGGTGTTTTTATGACATTTTATTCAAGGAACTCAATTTTATACTTACCTTTACTGCTTTTGAAGCATTTTAAGTGATTTTCCTACAGAAACAACTGTAAAGGTTGTGTTCCCCTTAGCATATATGCCCATCTCATTGGGCTTCCAGGTGAGGAAAATGTTTTAGAGTTATCTTTTTTCCAAATAGTTCAACAAATATTTATTCTTGCCTGCTCATGTGCTAGTCACAAGGCCAGGGACGGACATTAAGGTGAAAAAGATATGATTCCTGCCCTCAAAGAGCTCACACTTACTTCTAATGTTAGGAATGCTAATCTGTGATCAAGTTTAATCTAAAAAGTGCCATGGCTTTATGGAAAGCCCTTGGCATTCACTTGGAAATGGCCTAAGGACTTTTCTATGTCTGTAAAGTTACCAGTTAAATATCTAAAATGTGATGGGCTCTAAAAAGCAAAGTTAGACATGACAAAGGCTTGCCTTTGAGAACTAATGTTATTTACCTTGATTATTTCAAAATGTATTGACCGAAGTGATTGTTTGAATCAATGGATGATTTTGGGTGACTACAGAATTTGCTCTTTTTGGAAATGTCATGGATAGGAAACACTGTTTCAGTTGGTTATCATTCCCAAGCTTGGCAAATTTTTACAATTTTAGAAATTCTCAAATTGAAACCAGGACTGAGTCTCGTTTCTATGCATTTATAAAGGAACAGTGTTACCAGTGTTTACAGTTAAAATATTTTGTGACATCCAGGTATGCATACTTCAGATAGTATTTATATAGCTTTCGTTTTTTTGTTACAAGACTAGTGCATGAGCATTATAAAAGTTCAAATAATAGAAAGTATGTAAAGAAAAAGTTAATAATCTTTCCCTCCAACATCCTGACCCTCTCTGCTTTTTCAAACTTATGGTAACAGTTTGATGTGATTCCTTTTACCACCTTCTCAATGGTCATTTTATAGCTTCTTTATAGATGCCCAAATCCTTTCATATACAATGTATCCATTTCTTCTAATAACCTTATGGGGTAAATATTACCATCATTCCCATTTTATTGATGGTGAAATTGAGGCTCAGAGAGGTTAAGCATATTGCTTTGTGGAATTACAGTAAATAGAAGAACTCAAATTTTTCTAAGTAAAAGGCCTGTGCTCAGAAGCATATTGTCAGCCCATATAGATAAATTTTTTCCTCTACTGAATTTGCATAGCACTTACATTTCCTGTTAATAACTTGTCAATTATCTTCTGCCTTCTTTTAGTTTTATACTGAAATGTTGTTACTATTTCACATATTTGGATTTTTTCCCCAAAATAGAATATGTTAATTGAAGGTAGGAATGGTGTCTTTATACTTTCTTTAACTAGTCTAAAGTAGGCCATTTAGTAAACTATCAAAGAATGAGTAAAAGCTACATAGTATGCATGTGTTTTCTGATCAAACATTTGTCATGATAATAATTCAAGAATTAAAGCTGTCTTATTTTTTATCTTAAATGGAAAACATGGTACAATTTTAACATTTATATATGTGTACTGCAGTTATGTATCAGATTGCACTGCTCTTTTAGAAATAGTTGTGAACATTGGGCCAGCCATATTTCCTTGCTTATTTTTGGCCTTCTGATCTTCTGGACGCATCCTGTGTAACTATCGGTCATACCATCTTGTGTGAAAAGCAGGATCTAACCAAGATGTAGTGTTTCCTCTCTTGTTGTTTTCTCCTTCCCAGTTTGTATTTGAGATAAAAATCTAGTTGACCCCAGTTCACTGCAAATTAGGGAAGATAGCCCCACTTAGTTAGGCTTTATGTTGTGTGGATTAGCACTTTTTTTTTTTTCTTAATTGGAGGCAATGCTGTCTTCTGATTGCCAGCATTTCCTATTTTGTTAGGGCCGGAAAGGACTGGGAAATTTGTTGTAGCAAAGCTTTCCCCTTTTCTCTCCTTCCCTGATTCTCAAACAAATGGCTGCCTTCAGATCACTGCAGAGAAGTGCCTTCTTAGCCGGAGATGCAACATCAGAGGCTGTAAAATAGAGGAGAAATAGTCCAGAAGAGTTAACAGATTTTCTTTCAACAATTGAAAAAGAAGTTAGATTAGAACAGCTATAAATCATAAGCTTAATGCAACTGATTTTACAATCTTCAAAAAGCTTGCAAAAAGGCAAAGATTGTGAGAGAGTTGATTTTAAAACGTACATTTACTAATGCATGTTTTGTTTTGCCCGTCTCTAGAATTTCCATTGATGAGTCTGTTTATTTAGAAATCAGCCCCTAACCAAAAGCAGTATATATTTTATGAACATTCTTTCCTCAAATCAATTGAGAAAGATAATGTTACGTCTTTGAGTTTTACTAACTACTGGCGTGCACAGCAGCCATTTCTATATTCCAGTAACATAATACATCCGGCAGACAAACCTTACAAACTCTGGCTCTATTGAAAACCAGTTGCATGAAAGTAAATATATGATTTATGACTCCAGTAAAATTTGAAGTGCTGTCTTGAAATCTTTAGGGGGAAGGAAGATAAAGGGGTTGGAAAATTGGTGCTGGCCTTTTCAGGCGGATTTTAAGTGAGAGCGTACTAGGAATGCAGTCTGCTGCCTGCTTCAGCCCCCAAAAGCTGATGAGCATCATCT